TAGAGAAATTATTCTAGCTAACAAATGTATTTGGAAATGCACTGGAAACAAAAGAGCCAATTTTTAAACTTCAAGTAATTTAGAACATTAAATCCAAAGCCATTTTGAGAATTTCCTACTTTGTTAACCTAAATGAAAACAAATGCAAAGCTATCGCAGAGCTTCTTGGTCAGTTCCCAGCCTGGAGAGAGTTACAATTTTTCATAGATCTGCCTGCTGACCACATAACTTTTAAATTTTATTTTGACTCCCAAAAAAATAAAGCATGTGATTTGTAAGTGTTTTATTATTTGAGAAGTTTTGAGAAATTACCAAATTATAGCACATCAAAAACTGGGACTAGATTTAACAATTTGAAAACTTTTCTAAAACTAAGTTCCACACAAAACAGGATAAAAACAACAAAGATGTACACTACACGGCTGAAGGAGCACACTCTTGCTAAGCCTTGTCTTCAGAACAAGTTTCTTTGCATTCGCTTCCATGAAGAGTCAAGAGGTCATGACTTGCTGGTCACCATCAGCGACCTTACAAAACAACCTGGGAGGGAGTCGTTCTCAGGTGTTTTTCCTGGTTGCTCACCTCTGTGCTGCTGCACCCCAGTCCCAGTGTGGTGAACTCAGTGCCTGCTGGGTCGTGGGTCGCACTTGTCCCTGGTGCCCCGCTTCCTTGGAGGAGAGTAGCTCACGGAGCTTCGAGCATGCAAGCTGTGCTTGTAAGGATGGCTTCTCTGCTTCTTCGTGTCTTTCTGGTCCTGGCTTTTTGCGGTTTCCTTAGTACCCTCTTTTTGTTCATGGTCTTGCTCTTTATGGGAGGGCAGTGTGTTTTTAATTGTGTTAATTAGGAATCTTTTATTTGTACCAGCAAGAGGACACTTCATCCAACCCATCGGTCCCATTGTCTCTGCTCTAGTTTTCCCACGTTTTGCCTCCTTCAGCAGTTCTTCTATTGCTTTCCTCTCTAGCTCCTGGTCCTCTTCCATCGCAGAGCGGCTTCAGAATCCTTAAGCTGTGCAGGCGGCTCGGAGGCTCCGTCCCATGTCGCGAAATGCGCAGGATCCTACTTTCTAACAGCAAGTCAGCTACAATGTTGCCATAACCTACTCGCCTTCTAAGTCTACCTCTGAACACAAGAGTTCTCAAGGATATCATAGATCTAAACCATAGCAGATGACCAATGGACAACTAAAAACAAGATGAAACTGCCTTCATTTTACATCTGTCTTCTTTATTGCCTTAAAACTTCCTATCAGGTCCTTGTTCAGGTCTACACATTGGCATGTTAATCATTTAGGGAATGTCTGTCTGAAAAGTAAGTATCTCACTCAGATTTTCCATTGCTGGAACCCAATGTCCAATATCCACAATTTAAAGAAGGAGACATTTAATTTTGCTCATGCTTTCAGGGAGTTCAGTCCATGATCAGCTGACTTCAAGTTAGAGACATCATGACTGAGGGGCACAATGAAGCTTAGCTACTTAGCTCCTGGCAGCAGGGAAGCAAATCAGGCAAACAGAGCCACAGAGGAACGGGCAAGAGGCCAGATATAGACTCCAAGGCCACACCTCCATGACATGCCCATACATATCCAGAAATATGCTGTACTATTTCTCTGGACAGCTCCCAAAACAATAGAGTTGACCATCAATCGTACCAGTAACAAGAAAGGTTATCAGCTCTAAATTGATCTAACCTGTCTCGCTCCTCTTCAAGACTGAAGACACCAAGATAAGAGTAACTAAAGTAATTTTCAAGACTTGCAGGAGGGGCTGTGGAGATGGCTCAGTGGAATAAGTGCTTCCCTGGCAACGCAAGGGCCTGAGTTCAATCACCGGTTCCACCAAAAAAATAAAAAAAAAAAAAAGACTTGCAGGGATAGCCACTTGCCAATTTTTTGTTTTATGTATTTAGTACAGGGTCTACAGGATCTTACTACATAGATTGGACTCGTAGTGATTTTCCTGTTTTCAGCCTCCCAATTTTAGAATGTCCAATTCCAAATACTCTCAAGCAATGCCTAGACATCCCCAGTCATTGTACTATACCTGCAGTAACCTCAGATTGTAGGAAGACCAGAGCCCTGCAAACCACACCATGATGAGGTCACCTTACCCATCAGAGGGAGCAATTACCCCAGGACCAAGGCGGACCCTGTAAGCCAGAACCACAGTCACCTCACAGTGGGAACCAAATTTCCCTCTCAGGAGAGGATGTCACTCCCAGAACCTCATAGAGTCAGTGCTACCACAGCAGTCAACCACGTCGCGCCTGGCTCATTATGCAAATCCCCAACTCTTACCCTTGTTCTCCTTTTCTATAAATCCTCAAGGATTCTGTTAGCACCTGAAAGACCTTGCTCCTCTTTATCCGACCTTCACCACTGCTCACCTCCTTCATCAGCGTTTTGGGATAAGTAGCCAGCCCCACTCTATTAGGACCCCTGGAGCTAGGGCTTAGGCCCTAAAACTCTAGTAATACTCCTTCTCACCATCCAATCAACAAGCAGTCTTTTTCCTCTCTCTCCTTAGTTTCCTGGCTATTGATAAAATAGGGAGATTTAGCTTTTCTTTTTTTTTCCTTTTCCTCAGCTTCTGTCTTCTATGCCTGTCAGCCTTGCAATAAACCTCTCTTCACAAAATTCATCACATGGTACTGGCTCCTGTGTGCGTTGGTAATGAATCCTTGCTTATTAGCAATTATCTTACATATACGTGCTAATGCCACAAACCTAATAGGTTAAGGAAAGACATCACTGTTTCTCCCCCACATTGACAAAGTTATAAAAGTAATTCCATGGAAAAAATAGTCCTTTCAACAAACAGTGCTAGAAAAGTTAGATTTCTATTTTAAAAAAATTTGACTTTCATGCACATACCCTACTGATAGGTTATGGCCCTACTAAGAATTGCTGAATTATTATGGTGGTCGTCTAATATGGCTGAAGCCCTTAAAACAACAGCTTACCTTCCCAACGACCACTTCCTCCACTTTCCCCACTCCAGCCCTGGGTACAACTTCCTTTGACCTTTCCCGCCCACACAGGGAACCTCCAATCAGCTCCTTATATGTCACTAAACCTGCTCTCAAACTCCGCCCCCAGCAAAAGTCCGTATATTCTCAGGCTCCCTGTCTCAGGTCGGAGGATCCGCCCATCTTCCTGACCTCGGTCCTCTCCATGGGTTTAGAGTTAATAAAGGCTTTCCCTCCCCTATTTCTGCTTCTCCGCTGTGCTACCGCCGCCGCCATCGCTGCTGCCTCTTAAAACCTATCCCCTACCATAAAAAAAAATCAAAATGAGTCAGTACTAATGTGAAACTTAAACCAATAAAACTGCTAAAAGAAATCATAATAAAACCTTTGTGACCTGATATTAGGCAAAGATTTCTTAAATGTGATATCAAAAACACAAACCAACAAAGAACAAGTTGATAAACCATCAAAATTATAAATTCTGCTCCTCAAAAGACATTGCTGATAGGCTAGGCATGGTGGCACACAGCTGGACTCCCAGCACTCAGGAGGCTGAGGGAAACTCACAAGTTCAAGCCCACCTGGGCTACATAGCAAGTCAAGGCCGGCTCTTTGTGTGTGTGTGTGTGTGTGTGTGTGTGACCGGGGATTGAGCTCAGGCCCTTGTGCTTGCCAAGCAAGCATTTATTCTACTGAGCCATCTCTCCAGCCCCAAGGCCGGCTTGAACTACACAGTGAGACCCTATCTCAGCAACAAAAGAATTTAGTATCTCAAAAGACAAGCTATATATGATGAAAAATATGTTAGAACCTATCTGTGGAATATTCAGATTCGTGGCAGGTAAAGGTCTTTAATTACAAAAATAGACAACAGGGCCAGCGAGATAGCTCAGCAGACTAAGTGCCTGCTTTGGCAAGCACAGGCACCAGGGTTCCATCTCCAGTCCCATATGCTGAGCCAGGGACAGAGTCTGGGCGTGGTGGTACACGCCTGTAATCTCAGCACTGCGGAGGCTAAAAACAGGAGGATCACTACAAGTCCAAGCTGCATAGTGAGAGCCTGTACCAAATACATAAAATGAAAGAAAAAAAAAAAAAAAAAACATAGCTTTTTTTTTTTTTTTTTTTTTGCGGAACCGGGGATTGAACTCAGGTCCTTGTACTTGCCAGGGAAGTGCTTATTCCACTGAGCCATCTCCCCGGCCCTCCCATAGCTTTTTAAATGAGCAGAAGATTTAAAGACACATAGCCAAATAATAATTAAAAAATTAAAATCATGAATAATCAAAAACACAGTGAACGTTTAACTTTAAAAATTTATCACAAGGAAAAAAAAAATTTATCACAAGGGCCAGCCAAATAACTCAGCAGATTAAAATGCCAATTGAGACTGGGCATGGTGGTGCATGCCTGTGATCCCAGCTCTTGGAAGGCTGTAAACGGGCAGATCACTATGAGTCCGATCTAGTAGTGAGACACTGAACATCTTGTAGACCCTTCCCTAAAAATAAAAAATAAATAAATAATAAATAAATGAAAAACAAAAATAAAAATTTATCACAGTAAAAGATATATTGACCTTGGGCTGGTGAGATAGCTCAGTGGAATAAGTACTTGTCTGGCAAGTACAAGGTCCTAGGTTTGGTCCCTGGTACCGCAAATAAATAAATAAATAAATAAATAAATAAATAAAAGATATATTGGCTTTATTTTTTTTTTAACATTTAGTGGGGGGGGGCAGCTCAGCCCACCAGGGGGCGGGGCTGGCTGGCATGTGGTGCTGGGGGATTGAACCGCGGTCCCTGTGCTTTGCTAAGCTTGTTCTAAGTAGGTGCTTTAGACCACTGAGCCATCTCACCAGCCCCACAAAATATATTTTACCAAATCTATATAACCTATTGATAGATTTTAAAGGTGTTTTCTAAAGTCTGAACAACAAAATATTAAAATAACCAGCAATGTTTCCAATTCTAAAAGTCATAAAAACTCTCATATTTTGATCAGTTCATTCAGCCCCTTCTAATTAATTCTTCTTCTTCTTGATCATGGTTAGCAGTCTCATATAACAACTGCTCATCTATTAGAATTCTGGAAGCTCTGACCTCGTCCAATGGTATGATCTTAAGGGTAACAGAAACTCAGAAACGGATACTTACTGTGCACCCTTTACATGAAACTCCTCGAAAACACAGTGCTTTAGGATTATTTTCTTTTTCTTTTTCTTTTTTGTGCAGAACTGGGGATTGGACTTAGGCCCTTGTGCTTGCCAGGCAAGCACTGATTCTACTGAGCCATCTCCCCAACCCCTAGGATTATTTTCTTATTAGCTGTGTTCACAAAGATTTTCTTTTAAAGCATAGGAATAAAGAAATTAACTGCAGACAAGACTTGAAAAATGGCATGGTTAATGATCTGATGGGAATTCATATAACTAGCAATGGATGAGGAAACTGAATTATTGAGGTGCCATATAATATAGTCACATAATAACAATATATAGGACTTAACAGATTTCTAGGAATTTCATATAGTTTTTGGATATTAATAACATACCATAACATATTAATAACATACCCATACAAAGACTAAACATTATTACTTATTATATTAAATAATTTAACATACCATACAAGCCTAAATGGTATAATATATCTCTTTGTACATCCAGAAAGCCTATAAAATTATCCCAAAGTAAGTTTGGGATTTAGACAAAAATCTTTTTTTTAAAAGACAAAAATCTTAATTCAGAATTAGGGACACTTATCAGAAATGCAAAGGGCTTAAAATATTTGATCAAAATAGGATTCAAGATCCTTGAGAAATAAGACTGGCAAAAGATTTTAAAAGCAAATATAGAAAAAGTACCATATTTGTAAAAACACTGTGGCTCTTTTAACATTAAGAATACTCATTTTTCTTGAGTAATTAAAGACCTAATAAAAAATAGCACACAATATAATAAACTATCCTGATAAAACACAAAGTCTTTGTTTCCTAGGCCAGTTACCTAAAAGGTAAAGAGAACCTTTTCACTATTTCCTATTAAGAGAAGCTCAATAGTCCAAACCATATTTTAA